GCATATTAAATTCTAATTTAGGATTACGTTACAATATAAAAAACGTTACTAATGTATTATTATGTTGCATTTTGCAGTTGGAAATGTGTTCTACTGACTTTTTTTTTGAATTGTGGTGAATAGAATAAAATACTATTTACATTTTTTTCTTCGGTATTTCAACGCTGATTGATCAAAATTCAAGATGGAACGGATTGATCGTACGCGTTTCGTGATTGATCCTGTATGGAAACTTGTGAAACGTGAGGGCTATGAAAAAATATGGAAGATCTTCTTGGATGACTGTGAAAGGTGTGGCTTTATTGGATTCGACATGGAGTGGTCCAGTATAAATTATAAACCTGTTTCTGGAAATCAAGCACAGAATAAAAAGAAACCAGTTGAAGGTCAAGTAGCTACACTGCAGCTAAGTTCCCTACGAGTAACTTTTGTTGTGAAGTTCATCGATCTATTCTACCTTGCTACTAAAGGTAAATGTTATAACCCTTTTGGTCGCTTTTCCAAAAAATGGCCTCAATATCGTATTGGTGAAAAAAAGAATTCAAGCTATTTGATAAATAAGATATACCAAGACATTGTGTCACTTCTTCAAAGTGATGCTGTTGTCAAGGTAGGAGTAGGAATTCGTGGTGACCAAGTCAAGCTTCAGAGAGACTATGAAAACTTAATTCTAAATCCGTGTGTCGATTTGGTCACATTGGCTCAGAATTATCCTGCAAAGAAGTTGGATGACACCTCTTCTTGTCCTCATGAAAATTCAAAAAGTTCAAATATGGGGAAAAGCCTAAAAGCAATGAGTGTTAACTTTACTGGTAAGATACTAAATAAAGATTATTTTGTAATTCTGAGTAACTGGGGTGGAGCTCTAGGATCTCTTTCAAAGATGCAGATAAACTATGCCGCAGAAGATGCAGAGGCTTCATTTGACATCTGTCAGAGTATATTTGTACAAGCTGGACTTGTCGCGAATATTTCATCACCTTCATCGATTTCAGGTACCTCGTGTCTTTCCCTATTGGAGCCCCTCATCCTTAAGATTGAAAAAAATGCTCCCAAACACACTGAAAAGCAGAAACCACCTTTCTATAATACTTCTGTGCCTCCAGAAAGTTTTAATAATTTGCTCTCAAGTAACCTAAGTACGATAATGAATGATGTCACGGCTGCTCAAGGAAAAACTACAAAAATGATGACATCTTCAGTGCATACGTAAATTTCACCCTTACGGAAAATAACTCAAGGGGAGAGTATTACGTTTTTTTTTTATATGTTGAGGTAATACAATAGAGCACTTAACAGGTGTTAAATACTAAAGATTGAAAGTAAGTATGATTCGGGTTACTACTTTACTAGATTCTATAACGTAGAACGATCCACATATCAGATGTAGCTTAAAAGATATTAGGCAGTCAAAAAGATGGATGTGCTGTATGTGGACAAACTCTCTAGGTGGTTATCTATGCCATTGCGCTGCTCACGTTTTGTAAGTGCTTTCCGAGTGCCTTTATAGTAAGCAATTCTTAGGATTTTCTTTTGATCTTCAAATCTCTCTTTGTTTGGATGCACACCATCTACATACAAATGTGTAACCACATGGAGGAATATTGTGAACTTTTTATATTATATTTATCATAGCCAAAAATGAAGTCTTTTGAACCCTTAATTGTTATTTAAAAATGAGAATGTCTGTAAACAAGTTAGCAGCTACAGGGGGCAGGGTTGGAATCAGAGAGAGACTAATTGAGTCAATTATGTACTCCATCACTGATTATTGATTCGGAAAATCATAGTTGATACACAGAATATTCATATGAAAATAAACTATTAAACCATTTTTTAGATTATAGCATACTAATGCTTCGAAAAGCTATTACTGAAGTCATCGGTAGTCTAGTGGATATCTTCTTTGTAGCGCCACTCAACCTAAGACTTTGAAGAAAATATTGCAGTGAATTAAGTTGACTTGTTTAGAATCCTATGTAAAAGGTTATTTCTTTCGCTGTCTCTTCTTTGACTTCATAATGTTCTCTGCAGTATATTACTCACACATATTTTCAAATATATGGAAAAGATTTAGTACAAAGATTGAAACACATTTTGGGATAAGACGTTACTAGACAGTTTTCGAGTTGTTCTAATCCAGTTTTAAGTTGCAATGAATCTTGAAGCTATGGATATGCCCCCAAAGATGATACTTACGGAGGAAACGTCAGGAGGGAGAAAAAGAGAATCTAGAAAATGGTGTGCAGCTTTTAGATAATTATACCCTTTTTATAGCTTGGTTTCTAATGAAAAAGTATCTGACTCACTCCGCCACTACCCCTACTTGTTACAACAGCAATGGATAACTTAGAATCCTGTGAAGAGATCGATGAAAGACATCACATTACAGTGTACAAAGGACTTTCAAGTTTACGGGCGCTTTCACACGACTTACCCACCACTATTTCACTTATAATCGATGCTCAAGTCTTGAGCAATATTGTGGGCAGCGAACCCAACTATCCCCTGCGTAGATGTTTCCATTGAATAAAACTAACAGTTAATTGTGGAAGCCATGGTGTATTTCAGTTTCCCAACCCTACAGAGCTATGAGGCCAGGGGGTGAATCTAGCCTGGCGTCTTGGGACCCCGTGGATCTTCATCGATTTACCAAGACGGTGGGAATGTGCCTTGTCGAAGACGAAATACGTGCTTGAATTAGAAAAAAAAGGCAAATCTGACGGAGGAAGATGGTGGAATCGACCTTCCTGAGGACTCCACAAATATGTGAATTTGAACATACTGCAGGAAGCGAGTCGTGCAGCCAAGCCATTACTAGGCATTTCAAGGCCTTATGGGTTGGGGGCGTGGCCTACAGTTGTCGTTTGATAACTTTCCAGGTGAAGTTATGCAATATGTGAGTGAGAACCAAGCGCTGCTAAACTGGTGGTTTTCGTCTTTCGACATCTGACATAACAGTTTGATAAAACTGTTTGGAAAAAAAAGGGTGAGATCGATGTCCAATTCGTAGTCTTCAATTGGTCCTTTGCTATCACCTTTTCCCTCATCCTTGTTTGTAGTCTGTGTTTTCAATGGAATAGAAACATAGATGCTTTGTTGAGAATCGTTGTCGTTGTTTATAAGTTGGTATGACAAAATCGGTTTTCACATCCCAAAAAAATGTTTTCTTTTCTACTTATTTCCTCTATCTATCATCTCTCGATCTTCATTTCTTAATATAGAGAAATTCACTTACACCGTAAGCATTTCTAGGGGTTTTCACACATAAATAGCAAAAAGGCAGTATAAATTCTTCTATTGGAGTAGTTCACTAATCAATCTGCCATACAATCTGTGGAATTGCCTCAAAAACTCCAGCAAAATGCCAACTCTTCATGAAACTCTGATTCCGTCTTTGTACTGGAACACGCGCTCACTACATCATAGTCGTATTTTCATGCTCATAGTGTTTCTGCACGTGAGCGTGGCGATGGCCCTTGGGAAAGAAGGTGGGCTTACTACTTTCTACGATAAGATCACAGAACCTCCATGTTATATTGTTAAACAAGACTCAACGTCCTGGATAATTTTTGTTATTATATTTGTATTGACCACCGGTATCACGTTGACTGTTTGTTTAATCGCTTTTTATACCAGGACCGAACTCAAACGCAAGAGACGCCGCATGATGAGACGTCAGAGAAGAAGACATAGGGCTAATCGTATACGTAATGGTGAGCATATTTACAAAAGAAGGCAATTCAACCACACCACCCCCACTCAACCTCCGGAAAATAATGACCCTTTATGTAGTGATGACTCCATCTACGAAGATGCGAATGGCACCTTGACGGAACACTCTACTCGTGTAATAATGAGACCCCAGCCGGTAATGGTACCATCTCCACAAGGCATTTCACTGGAAGAATATCGGAAAAAATGTAAACAAGGTGAAGACGATGTGAAGTGGGAAGAGGAAGCTAATCCCCTTGCTAACCATACTTTTTGAAGTTTAAATTGACAAGACGAAGATGTCTTTCATGTACACAACGGAATGTTTTAACCGTGACTGATTTTATATATTTTGTTTAGGGCAATCATATTTCACCTTCTATGTAAAAAATCATAAAATAATGGTATTATTTCTAGTTTATCTGAATACTATTTTGCTAAATTGTTTTTTATTTTGTGGTATCACCACAAGATAGAATATATATTTATTTTTTCGATATTACTGATTCTATTTTTATTTCCAAGTTGTGAACTACATATTACACGTTATACAAGTATCATAAATAGATGTACCTAAATATTGTATTTGACAATTTAAGAATGTTCAGTTTTATTACTTTCATATTTGTTGAATACTACATAATGAAGTTGTTTACATTGAGATTTATAAAGCACTAAATTATTTCATTCCTTTTAATAGATTCATATTGGAATGTCAAAATGATATGGGGAAACCTTCTAATTAATGATATGTAGTCTAAGTATTGAAATTAACTTTATTTTGATATGTCAAAATTACGTTGCTTTTTCACCATGGATGTGTTTATCTAAATTATCTGATTGGGTTCGCTATTATTAGATCATGCTTGTTTAATTCTCAATTGAAACCCTATGCTGAAGAAGTATCCCTTTATTCACTCTCCTCAAGATCTGGGCAGCGCAACATCGCACTATTGATTGATGAGGTCTTCTTTATCCACTCATTATTGGCATACCTTATTTAGAAACCGGAGATAGCTTCATAAAGTAGAATGTCGAACAAAGGGCGAAAATCCGAATTTACCGCATGGTGATCGCAACCGTTGGTTTGTGGATTTGCTCTCCGCGTGGCGGCGCGTCCTTTTCTGCTGTAAAGAATACCAGAAATCTAAACGAGGGGTATTAGCGCGAAAAATGGCCTTTCGCTTTTCTTTGGAGTCCCAGCGCGGATGGCCGACATTGTTGTTTTCCCATGGATTCGGTGGCCAGCGTGCGGTGCGACGGCCCCCTAAGTAAAGATGTGTGGGGCAAAGTTGGCATTCGAAAAACGGTGGGTATTCTCATTCGAATCCACGCTGCTTTACCTGGTCTTAGGAAGTGCCATAGGCTATAATTCATCCAATGATAAAAAAGACTAGCTCTTTTCCACCTAGAGGGGGAAAGGGAATAATTCTAAACAGAAAGCACAAGCTAATGCCACAGCGATGCCAAGGAATGGTTTCACAGACCTATCTCTCTCTCTCTCTCCATTGAAAACAATTTGTTTTATTCTTTACCAATTTACGTTTGAATTATCCAGGAAGAAACAATCCAACATTGTATATAAAATAACTTACATTGAGTTATTTGTCAATTTGGGTAAATATTCTTTTTACTTATCATTGTTGGGGAAGGAAATCTTGTAACGGTGTTAATCCGCTACGGATCTGCTCCACTGTTCTCAAAATTCGATGTCTTCTACGAAGAAATCAATGTATGGGGATGAAAAAGCATGGATCGTCTTTCTGGGTACGGTGGCACTTTCCCTCTTTATTTTTCCCTGTCTTTTTTTCCCGTCGTCAATTTTTACTTTGTTTATTCTTTATATCGTCATAAGTTTTCTTTTTCTTTTTAGTAAAAAGATTAAGTAAAAATTATATCTTAACAGAATTTGCAAAGGATTTAGCGCCTATCGCACACTAAAGATATGAGTTATGGTAAATATTACAAACAAGATGTTTAGCGATAATGATATTAACTCTGAAAAAATCCAAGCTCCCGCATGCATGTTGGCTTTGGAGCCGTTTAACGATGATAATGTCAATGAAAACCACCTCAACTATGAAAAAAGACGAAGGGATGAAGATTGTCAAATCAAAAAGGAATCTTGCACGGAATATTTTGGCTCCCGCCGTGGTATCGTAAACTTCCTGGACATCACGGAAAGTTTTATCGACAATGACACGCTGACGGAGGAAAATCAGATCGCGTCTTTAAAGGGCCTTCAGTGTTGTGGCGACTCTGGCGAAAATGATCCTCACAAACAAGGTAGCGATGATGAATTAGAAAAAGTCGCGCTAACCAAATCGCTTAATAGTATTGTTCTAAAATCTATACACTCCAGTGGAAGCATCGGCAGCCGAGAGGGCTTTCAGCGATTGCCCTGGTCGAGTGGGTATTATGGAGGGCAAGACGATCACGGCCGTCGAATGCGGAGTCCCTCGACCGACTCCTGTACAATAGAGCGCGATGAAATGTTTAACCGCGTCCAGACGCTCGTGTCGCGGATGCAAACACGTCGCACGGGGTCTCAAATCACCGACTTGTACGCAAGTTTGACTGGAGAAGACTGGGCCGATGCATCAATAAGTTCTAGTCGATAAACTCAGGAGACCGCTTTAGGTGATCAAACCGCTATATTTATCGGTCAAAAAAAAAAAGTATGGATTCGTACGGGTTAAGAATGTCCCAATTATTATTATTATTTTACTGCTATTAAAAACTTATTTGCATGCATCTGACCCATTGGTCGCTTCTTGTTTATGATAACGTATGAAGAGAAAAGAACTCTATTAAACACACCTACTCTTTCATACATCTTCAAAAAAAATGCTGTCATCTCTCTGCGATGAGTATAAAATGCGTCTTTACAGAATCACTTCATAGGTGTCTCCAGTGTCCCTTATATATAAAATAAATATATAGTGTCTACACCACTTTGAAACTACCGTTCGAGACTTCAGTCTCATTACAATTGACATGAAGCGTCCTATATAACCAACCGTAGGTATCGTCCTTTAGTTAGTCAAGACCTCGGTGAATTAACGTCCAGTTGTGTAGAATATCAAGCATATTCTATGAGGATTTTTTGAATTCTAAAGATAGCGTAGAGAGAAGCGCATTTCTGAAAAGCTGTTTGAAAATTAAAATATACACGTATATATGAATGTATTAGTTTTTACTTTCCAGTGGAACTAATTTCATTATTTTTTATTTATTTTTTTAGATTATGTCTATGCAGTTTTGTTATAATATTGCTTACGATTATCCTTTGATTTTGATTTTTTATCGGTTTTGATTTTATGCTTAATTTCCATTTTTTAACGTAGTATAAAATCCTATGCATTGGTTGATGTCCCTCCATTCCATCCTAACCCTCGGGGAACCGCATTATTCCTGCATTTGGTCATTGCATCCCGTCCACTGGGAGATGGAACGCTGAAAGGGACGACGTATAACGCGATGGCTGAGATTGCTTCACCCTTATGGCTTTCCCCCCCCCCCCCTTCTATCGGTCTCATGGGCCATAATCTATAAGGTCTAGAGTGAGTGAACACACCGAGGAACCCCATTCTTTGGTGTCTTTTTTCTTTTTTTAATCCCCTTTACGAATAAACATGCTGCGGCTTAGTCAAACATTCCTCAAGATTGCCTGGCGTGCGGTCCCGGACCGCACACACTACGACGTCTGCGTGATTGGCGCGGGCGCAGGCGGGATCGCCGCCGCCCTCCGCGCCGTGGATTTCAACAAGAAGGTCTGCCTTATCGAGTCCGATCGACTGGGCGGGCGCGATCTGTGGAATGGGACGCTGCACTCGAAAACGATGTGGGAGTTCTCCTTCGCGCTTGTGAAGATGCGCGGGGAGGCCGCCAAGCGGCTCTACGGCGAGCCCGTGGACAGCTACGTGGAGCTGGATGAGGCCCACATGCGCAACTCGATGGACGAGATCAGCCGCACCCGCGAGGCGCAAATCATGAAGGCCCTGAAGGCAAGTAAGGTCCGCTTCGTGCAGGCCCACGCGAGTTTTGTGAGCGACCACGAGGTGGTCTGCCACCACCCCCCCACCCGGGCCTTCCACCTGATCACGGCGGATTATTTCGTGATCGCGACGGGGTCGACCCCGCGGCGCCACCCCACCGTCCCCATTGACGGCCGCCTCGTCGTGACCTCCGACGAGATCATGCGGCTGCCACTGCCGAAAAGCCTCGTTGTGATCGGCGCCGGCATCCTTGGCTGCGAATTCGCGAGTATTTTCTCTCGTTTGGGCCGCACGAAAGTGTTTATCATCGACAAGGAGACCAGCATCCTCCCTGCGGAGGACGACGACGTCGTCCACGTGGTGGAAAAGCAGATGATTGCGGACGGGGTCACCATTCACCACGACTCCAAACTGCACGACCTCCAGCTCTTGGAAGACGACGGGGATGGGACTGAGAAAGGGGTGCAGTACACCCTTATCAACCGCTATACCAAAGAGCTGACCACCCATCAGGTGGACCGGGCCCTGCTCTCCATCGGGCGATGGCCGAACTACACCCACCTCAGCCTCACAAACACCTCCGCGAAGACCCAAGATGGCAAACTCGTCGCGAATCAATTCGGCCTCTGCGAGAATACGCAAAACATCTACGTCGTCGGCGACGCCGCGGCGAGGAAGTTCCGCGTCTGCGTGGCCGAGGCGATGGGCAAGCTGGCCGTGGAGCATATGTACTGCCCGCGATTGGAGTCCCTCAAGACCCCGCCCCAGATCATCCCCAAACTGGCCTTTTTCTCCCTCGCGATCGCGTCGGTGGGGCTCGGTGAGAAGGACTGCAGGGAGCGCAACGTCGCCTACATCGCCTGCCGGTATGGCTACGACTTGGTGAGCCGCACCGTCGCCGCGGCGAGCACCGACGGGTTTATTAAAATTCTCGTCTCGCGGGAGATGCCGCACCACATTCTCGGGCTCCGCGCGGTCGGCCTGGGTTCGAGCACGCTCGTTGACCTCGCCACGCTCGCCCTTCAGCGAAGGCAGACGATTTACGACCTGGTTAACCGCCTGACCGCCTATCCCGCCCTCTCCCAGGCCTTTCAGGAGTGCCTGCACGCGATTCTCGGGACGTCGGTGCTGCGGCCCGGCACCTTCGACAGCATCACCCTCACAGAGTGGAGCCCGGACAACTTTGAACGCGGCGTGGCCTACCAAAAAAGCCTCCGCGCGCAAAAGGGCAGAAATCCGACAAACCTGGACGATTGAGGGGGGCGAGGCCGATTTCCAATCGCCGGCCCCGCTCAACGGTACGAAACATCCACAGCCCCCTCTTGGGTGGTTCATGAGAACGCGAAGCGGCTTTACTGCTAAGCTTAAAGGAACAACCTGCAGGAAGTCGGGGTTAGGTTTGGGTGAAGGGAGGGGGGG